CCTCATTAGATGGTTATCAATTTTTATAAATTCATATGATGTGATTTTCTGGAATTTTCTTTGGGATTCTGTCTTTCACTGTTAGAATGTACATATGATTAAAGTTATAGATCGTTGCATTCTTTGTAAGTGGGCAAACCTGCAAAATCAGCAAGGGCTCAAATACTTATTTCCCCCACTGTACATAAATAACTGTATGTATATATATATAGGTCTAAATAAGTGGTGGTGATAATGTCAATTAATCAAAAATAATAAAGCTAATATGAATATTTGTTTGTTTCCTGTGGCCATTAGAGACTCACCGTCAGCACAGAGGCTCCAGCCCTCAGAGTCACTCTGTGGGAGAGATTCTTTCTTCAGGAGTCTATCCAACTTGTTTCCTTGTTCACACGATGCCTGGAAGAAAGGAGGAGCACTTTTAGCTTCAAGTGCTGTTAAAAAACAAAAACTCTGGAGAACATGGAAGAATTCACAACTTATTTTAGACGTGCTGCTGCTACCAAATTAAAGATAAGGTGATATGTTTTATGATATAATCAAAATATATCATTTCAAAGTTTATGGTGATATCTGCTTTCTATAGCAAACCAAAAAATTTTTTAATTTCTTAACTTTTTCTGAAACTGGGTTTGTGTTTTTGTTTAATTAATTAAAATCCCCTGTTATTTTATCCCTATTTTGAAAGTATTGAAAGGTTGAATATATTCTATTTAATCCAACAATCAAAGTTAATTCTCACTGTTGTCTTTTTGTCATTTTTATTTAGAATCTGATAACTAACATTTATTTTGTTTAAGAAAACTTCTGGTTATTTTAAAGCAAAAACACTGCTATTTAATTCTTAAACACTTAAAACAGGAGACGATTCCAGCGTAGAAACGTTAACTTCAAGTGCTGTTAAAACAAAAACTTTGGAGAACTTGGAAGAATTCACAACTTTTTTAGACGTGCTGCTGCTACCAAATTAAAGATAAGGTGATATGGTTTATGACATAATAGAAATATCTCATTTTCAAAGTTTATGGTGACATCTGTCTTCTATAATAAACAAAACATTTTTGTAATTTGTTAACTTTTTCTGAAACTGGTTTTGTATTTTTGTTTAATTAATTTAAATCCCCTGTTATTTTATCTCTAAAACTATTAAAGGTTGATTCTATTCCATTTAATCCAACAATCAAAGTTAAACCTCACTGTTGTCTTTTTGTAGTTTTTCAAGTACAAGTTTGATTTAGAATCTGATCACTAACATTCATTTTGATTAAGAACACTTCTGGTTATTTTAAAGCAAAAACACTACTATTTAATTCTTAAACACTTAAAACACGAGACGATTCCAACGTAGAAACGTTAACTTCAAGTGCTGTTAAAACAAAAACTTTTTTTAAACGTGCTGCTGCTACCAAATTAAAGATAAGATGATATGTTTTATGATATAATCAAAATATCTCATTTTCATCTCTTGCATTTGCCTTCTATAGTAAACAAAAGTTGTTTTTCTATGATAAACCAAAATAAATTGTAATTTCTTAGCTTTTTCTGAAACTGGGTTTGTGTTTTTGTTTAATTAATTCAAATCCCCTGTTATTCCTATTTTGAAAGTGTTAAAAGGTTGATTGTATTGTATTTAATTACAACTATCAATGTTAACTCTCAATGGTGTCTATTTGTAGTTTTTTATTTAGAATCTGATAACATTTATTTTGCTTAACAACACTTCTGGTTATTTCAAAGCAAAAACACTATTATTTAATTCTTACTCTGCTGACAAGAAAATTTAAAAAACGTTAACTCCTCCCTTTCCCACCTGTGGAGTCCTGGTGATATTCTGGTCGTCTGCTTTTGCCTCTTCTGAGTCCGGGAGCTCTTCTGGCAGCACAAACTCCTGTTTCAGACCTTTTTCTGTCGGGAAAAAAAGAGAAAAGATATCTCTGATTGTAAACCGAGGCTGTTACTGCATTTATTTATTTATATATATATATATAAAGGCAAAATAAAGACTCAAAATAAAAAAAAGTGATTTTCTGTTTTGTTTTATTCTTGGATATATCCTTTTAAAGCCTGATCCAAGAATAAAACAAAACAGAAAATTACTTTTTTTTTGTTTGAAGTCTTTATTTGGCCTTTTAACAAAATATGTAAAAAGAAAAAACAGAAATACATTTTTAATATTAATAATTTATGACTATGCGATAAGTCCAGATTATGTTTTGTGTATCTTCTGCCCCCTGTTATCAGGTGTATCTGATTGTGTACAATAGGATTTTGAGCAAAATGTTTACCATTAAATTATGCAAAAGGTGTCAGACGCAAAACATTTCAGAAACCGTATCAAATATGATACATTTGGCCTTACAGGGTTATATATATATATATATATATATATAGAGAGAGAGAGATAATATATCAATATATATATACATTTATATAATGAGATTTATCAGCAGGAAGTCTCAGCCTTTGATTGTAAACAAAACACTAACAGCTACATTCTTTCTTTTAATAAAATGAATGTAACAGCTGCATATTTCCACATTTTATCCAAACTTATTGCTTTAATGTGCAGCCAAATTGTAGCTGTGAATGAGTTTCTTTGAGTAAAATACTAAGAAACTGCTCTTATTTTTTCTGGCCACCACTATATGTTCAGTTTTATGTCTAGTTCAGAGGCTCAGTGTAGATTTAGACAGATTTAGACTCAATACAAGACACAGGGAAATTATTTATCATTATTATTTCCCTATTATTATTTAGCCTAATATTTAGCTTTAGCTTCACCAAACTGTGAGTCTGTGAGCTTTTAAAGACCATAATCTGGGCCCAGACCTGCCTCAGACCCAGGCCTTACCTGTGGGACCCTTCTCACCTGTGGTGGTGCCTTTGAGACCCCCGGAAATGAATGAAACAGCTGCATATTTCCACATTTATCCGAAATTATTGTTTTAATGTGCAGCCAAATTGTACTGTGAATCAGTTTCTTTGTCTAAAATAATAATAGCAAAAACTGCTCTTGTTTTTTCCGGCCACCACAATATTGTCTGTTTTCTGTCTGGTTCAAAGGCTCATTGTAGATTTAGACAGATTTAGATAGTGAGGATTCAATACAAGACACAGGGAAAATATTTATTAGTATTTCCCTATTATTATTTAGCCTAATATTTAGCTTTAGCTTCACCAAACTGTGAGTCTGTGAGCTTTTAAAGACCGTAATCTGGGCCCAGACCTGCCTCAGACCCAGGCCTGACCTGGGGGCCCGTCTCACCTGTGGTGGTGCCTTTGAGACCCCCGGAAATCCCAGCTTTCCCGCGTCCCTCCACCCACTTCAGGCGCCTCTTCAGGGCCTCCACCTGCTCCCTGCAGCGGGTCAGCTCCTCCAGGAAGCTGTCCTCCACCAAACGGGTGATCTCGTACATGGCGGCTTTAAAAACGGTTTCCATGACGCCAGAAAGTTGGGACTGAAAAGTTACTATTGACTCCGCCATTATATCGAACGAGTCCTATTTAAATACGTTAAAGGGAATCTAAAACAACCCAAAAATTGTGTTATTTGTCAGTTTTGCTCGACTGGATTAAGCAGTCTCTCTATAGTTATTACAGTAACTATAGAAACTATAAAAAAAAGAGCCGGTTCTCCTTTTCTTTGGTTTGTTATTCACCCACCGGTGTTGTCCACGTTAGCTTGTTAGCTAGCTAGCTAACGTTGTTTTGTAGCTACCGTTAGCAAAGCCTCACGCTAGGAGCCGCCACCCGGAGCAAAAACGGCCATATTCCTCTCCCATTTCTACTAAAAAAAGAAGCTTAAACGTGTTCTACCGAGGCAGGACGTTTATTGTTCGGGGAGCTGAGGCATTTCCACCGGATTCCGTCAACAACCGCACTTCCCCGTGGCGAAATACGGGTAGCCGGTTGGGACAATCTTCATAGTCTCGCTTCGACTGGATTATACAGAGAGAGATAATATCTCGTCATTTTCTACATCTTTGTTTTCTGAATTTTAGTTTAGTAATTTGGTAAAGAAAATATAAAATACTGTCAAATTGTATTTTTATTAAAAATTGAATCATTTAACAGGGTGTGCTAATAACTTGCACTTCCCCGTGGCGAAATACGGGTAGCAGATTGGGACAATCTTCATAGTCTCGCTTCGACTGGATTCTACAGAAGAAGATAATATCTCGTCATTTTCTACATCTTTGTTTTCTAAATGTTAGTTTAGTAATTGGTGAAGAAAATAAAGAATAGTGTCAAATTGTATTTTTATTAAAAATTGAATCATTTAACAGGGTATGCTAATAACTTGCACTTCCCCGTGGCGAAATACGGGTAGCCGATTGGGACAATCTTCA